GGAGGATTGCCCAACTAGAGAGACTGCATACATGTGGTTACATTTAGATTTATTGATATAATTAAAATGCATTTTAGAAGAAAACTTCCTGTAAGCATTGGCCATTTCTGTGGGAAACCTATTAGCATTTTTTTATAACATGGTGTTCCTTGCCACATTGCAGATAAAAACAAGTATGTAACACACTGAGAAAACACTTTGAGCAAGTGTGTGGACATAGGAGAGCTTATGGGAATCAACACTGTAGCTGGAGCCAAATAAATGAGGAGAATGGAGAGATTTGACACGAGACCAGTGGTTCTCAACATTCCTAAGGCCGCACGCGACCCTTTCATATAGTTCCTCATGTTGTGGTGACCCCCAATTGTAACATTCTTTCATTGCTACTTCATCACTGTCATTTTGCTACTGTCATCATGTAAATATCTGATAGGCAGGATGTTATTTTCATTGTTACAATATGTAATTATATATTGTGGAATATTTATTTCTAATGACAAATAAATGAAATGTTGTCTTGAAGCATGAGGAACAGTCTTCATGCTGGGTACTCTTATGGGAGAGTATCTGCGTGTGGGCAGACCCACCTGGAGACAGATAGAGAAGCTGTGTCTCTGTTCCTAAGGACATTGGAAACATGTGTTTTCTGATGGTCCTAGGAAACCCCTGTGAAAGGGTCATTCGAACCCCCAAGCGGTCGCGGCCCACAGGCTGAGAACCGCTGCTCTAGGTGATGCTACCAGGCAGGCCAGATTCAGCTTGTGAAAAGTACTCCTAACCCGAGCACTGATTATATTAAAATCTGATCATGTTTCAACTATTTAAATTTTTTGCACATTCCTTAGACACTGCCACATTTCATTACCAGGAAGCCATTTTCAGGCAGGAAATGAAAGGGGAAAAAAGTATACAATATCATCTAAACAATATGCTAGAGCGCATTATTTTTCAGGAATATTTTATAAAAGCAGTATAATTAATTTTAACAGTGGGAAAGCAGAGGATGAATCTGAAGGTCAGTCCTATCTGACTTTATGTTTGTTTTAATTTTTTTGTAATAGTAGTTTTCTAAGGGTGTTCTTCATTCTCTGATAAAAGTATGGGGACTGAAATCTATAGAATACAATTTCCCTTGAAGATTAGGATATTAAGGTTCCTGTGTAGTCCTGAAATGAAGAAGTCTATTTCAATTTATTAGCTGCGTATTTTTTTTTTATTAAATCATTTTATGGGAGGCTGGTACAATTGCTTTCTGCTTGAGCCCTTGGTATTTTATAAAATTTGCTGTTCTCAGAATGCTTTTGTGTATGTATGAAACATTTACGATTCCATGAAATTATGTCGGAAACCTGCTAACTTATCTGAATTAATATTTTCTCTTTAGGTTCTAACATCCATTGCAATGACTATGAGGAGAATTTATTAAGGAAACTAACAAGTTATAATGCCAGTGAGAAATGCTCAGGGTTGAGTTGTATATCAGGACATGTTACAAAATTCTGGTAAGTCTTCAAATAAATACCCAAAGGGCATACCATTTTGCTTTGCTATGACCCTCAACCCTAAAGCATTTAGCTTAAACTCCCTGGGTCAGCAAACCCAGTTCCCTGAATTAAGTTCCCCAGAGGCATCCCACTGGGCAAACCAGCCTTCTGCACAAAAGGACTCAGCTTTACTTGCTCTGGGTCCTGGGAAATCCAGCACTCTGTCCCATGCTCTGGGTCCTGGCCCTGCGGCTGCTCCTCTGATTTTGTGGCTATTACTTGTATCCAGGGGGTTCACTGAACAGCGATCTCTGGTCCAGATGACAAGTTCCACTCCTGGCTGTTGCTGGTAATGAGATCCTTCCTCCTGCTTCTTTTCTCTCTCTCTCTCTATATATATATATATTTAATCGTTTTATTAGGTCGCAATCCATACATACATCAATTGTGTAAAGCACATTTGTACATTCATTGCCCTCATCATTCTCAAAACATTTGCTCTCCACTTAAGCCCCTGGCATCAGGTCCCCTCTCTCCCCACTCCCCCTCCCTTATGAACCCTTGGTAATTTATAAATTATTATTTTGTCATATCTTGCCCTGTCTGACGTCTCCCTTCCCCCACTTTTCTGTTGTCAGTCCCCCAGGGAGGAGGTCACATGTAGATCCTTGTAATAGGTTGCCCTAGAGAATCCTGTTAGAAATTACTTACAGTGGATCCTCTCAGTATCTTCCCCCATCTTCTTACCAGACCCATACAGGAAAGGTCATTTGGTGGGAATTAGAGACTTTGGCTAGAAGAGCCACAGGAGATAAATCACTGTCCTTTCACCCGCCATAGGGCACATTGGGAGAACCTGATTAATGGGAGTTCAATTTACTTAGAATCTAGGTAATGTAAATCTTATCAGACACTCTTAAATCAATGTCAAAAAATAGGTTTCAATTCACTGGTCTGTGAAATCAATTAAGTGGGTTATGATCAGTATTTAGGTGGGAATTGGGGAGAAGAAAAGTAAGAAGGACATAAAATATCGAGTCATTGCACTTAGTAAGTACAACAGAATCCTGAATCATGACCTTTTTGGTGAGTCACGATGTAGTGTGTTCCTCTCTGTGGCCCTGGCCAAGACAGTCCTTAGCCAGTGATTTCCTGAGAAGCACAGGAGCTGTTTTTGAGGCTTGAGGATTAAGCACAATGATGGAACAAAAGTCTGAATTTATGAAATTAACACAAAAGACTGCTATAACCATGTTGCTACCTAGAAGATTGGTTATTACTTCGAACCAGAGAGTTTTAGGGCTGAAATAACTCATGGGCTGGGGGTGGGGTGGAGGTGGTGTGAAGGTAAAGGCTTCCTGACTGGAAAAGGTCAGCCAGCTGTTAGCTGGGCCTGGCACCCAGCTTTCCCGACCAGGATTCCAGTATTCCTTTACTTGACAGTGTAAACTGATGTCATTTTTATTTATAGAATCCTCAGGATTACTTCTTTTTAATTATTAAGGAAAAACGAGGCTGTTTCAAAAATGCTAAAACCTTTAAGAGAAAAAAAAGTAATTTAGAGATAATTCAACGTGCTGGGGTCTGATTCTACTTCTAGCAAATAACTAATTAACCTAATACCCTTTGTTATTAGATACGACATTCAGTAATCTGGTTTCTCATTTGTACTTGTAACTGCCAAAGGCATGTGATTTTGAAAAGACCTTAAAGGTCACACAACATTGGACATGGGGACAATCTTGCCACATTTGGGTCAAAGATGCGGCCTTTCTTTTTCATTCTCTAGGGATAGTGAAGGAAGACAGACTAAGAGGAAATCCCCCAAACCTACTTTTATAAAAGGAAAAGAGATGATGCTGAAGCATTCTATCCCAGCAAAGCATTGGCTTTGGTAGGTTTCACTTTACACCTGCATCCTGAAAACTCCGCGGGAGCCCGCAGGGCTGGGAACCACAGGAGCAGCAAGTGGTTTCCAACAAGATGAGGCTTTCTGCCACCTTAACGATTTCTCCCAATATCCCAACTCACTGGCCTGCAGTCCATTCCTGTAGGGCAGGGTCCTGTGGGTTTCGGAGACTGTACCTCGTTATGGGAGTAGAAAACCCGGTTTTTCTCACCCAGAGCATCTGGTCCTTTCCACAGACTGACCTATGGTTAGCAACGCATGGCTTAACTCGGCCACCAGGGCTCTAGTCAAGACTGACACTGTAATTCACACACACCGTCTCCAGAGCTGAGATCCACTGGGTGGCCGGGGTTTGGTTTTGGTTCCTCAAAAGTCTTTGCGGTCTAAGTCTTGAACTTTCGTAGTTTCCATTCTCTCGAGGAGTAAGTGTTCTAATGATGTATTTGGGAAGGGGTGTCAGACTCAGTCATTGACAGAGCTGGTCCTTTCCTCTGTGTTCTAGAGAAAGGGTGTACAGGAGTCCAGCCCTGAGAGATGAGTCCCAGTACACGCTCATCATGCCGGACACGCCTGCGAGATGCCGGCAATCCCACCCGAAGCAGAGATCATTTGATAACAATCTTGGCTCCAGGAAGAGATGTCAAGACCTGTACACTCTGGGGCTAAACAGAAGCTTTTGGGGGAGTTAAGGAGCCGGGTGTCTGTAACAGGAACATAAACGCATAAAGCCTAGACAAGCGCTCAAAAGTGGGGAGGCATCTCCCACAGACTTTGGAAGGCAGCTGGTGTCTGGAGAGCAGAAAATCTCCTTTAAAAGCAGGAGCCTCCCGGGGGGAGCCTTTCCGGGAAGACTTGCCCCGGACTGGGAGAAGGCTGGAGGTGCGAGTAAGCGAATTTCCTCCAGCTCCCGCCGACCTTCCAGTGATGAAGCCGACTCCCGGCCCGCCAGGAGGCCC